TTGCACACTGAGCAGCCAACTCTTGAGGCAAGTAGTAGTATTGGCAACCTGTTCGTAAAACTAATCCACTAATGCTTCACTAGCACACCACTAAAGAAATAAAGGGATTTGGACATTTCAAAATATATTCTGAAGAGACGGAAGATATCCCACGGCCAGTTAATCCAATCAAGGGGAAGGGAATGAGCTGGTGGAGAGAATGCCCTTAGCTATTTCATCTGTTACCCTCTTGCTGAAATAACCGGTCATACTGAATGTCTAAGCTCTGCTCTTGTTCGAGAATTAACTGCGATGCAATTGAATCACCCAGCGCTCGATCAAGGACTGGCGGATGGACCAACCCGGCCAACCTACTTGTTGACATGAGGGCGGACATTTCAAAATATATTATGAAGTTACTATATGATATGTAACGAGGATCGGACAGAAAAGGAGGAAAACTACCTCGTTGGTATTATGTCCACACTTCGCTCAAATAGGTCTTGGCATTTTCACGACATATATACTAAAGTACCTTATGCTGAAGACATTCAAACTCTAAAACAAATATGTCTAGCTATTGGTGGTGCAATTAAGGTTGATTTCGTGGTTGCATTGTAGCTAAGAAACTATCAGCAAATGGGGTTGGTCATGGATGTTAAAGCAGACCAGATCCAACGTTCCGACAACAGTTAAATCTGTAGTAGATGAATCACGATTCTAACCGAAAGGTTAAGCAAATTCTTTAAGTAAGTGCCTTATTTATCATCTCTAAACTCGTCTTTAACGGATGCATGGTTACTGAGATCATCCTAGCTGCATTATCTCGTTGCATGTGTTGCAGGTGCCAAATTTTGATGTCTTTCCGCGGGTGACTGAGACGGTCCCTCGCCAGGTTTACCAAGAAAAGGTGAAGCAATGAAGGGTAGACATGCATTGAGGAACTTGTCATAGACTCACTCTTCATTGAGATTCTGTATGAATCGAGAAGGAAATGGCAAAACTACGAAACCATCTGCATTTTCTTGGAAGTGGAACTTAGGTATAAGACCAAAGATGAGCACCATTTTCCTACAAGTATTGTGTTAGTTTGAAATCTTTTGGCGATGAGAACAATATACATGGATTGTTTTGTTTGAAGTTCTATCCACATAGATAGCACATAATTACATACACAATGTAGTCGATGCCTTCTAACCAAAAAAAAAAAAAAAAAATCCCTTACTCAATTATTTTTTTCAAATTTAATTTAATTTTTTATATTATTATTCGAAGCTAGATTAAGAAATTGAATATGATTTGAACTTGGAATACAGTGAATTAATGATGGAGAAAGATTAAGTAAAAAGTTTTTAACTAAAAATAGAAAGCACCCTCATCAATTATGAGCACTCGAATGCAATAATTTATTTTGAAAAGGGTAGTGCTTCACATGGATGCTCAATTGATTTTAGTGTATGATATTGTATACATGAGTACTCATCAAATGATTAAAACTTTATGTTACGTCATTGGTTTAATGAATAACGTATGTAATCATAAAATGATTTTTTTTTTCTTTTTACATAAAAAATGTACTTAAGGAATCGATCCTTAATTTTCACATTTACTTGTAAAGTTAACTCAAATGGGCAACGTTTAATGTGTGCGACAATCTATGTCAATCAGTAAGTCGAATTGAGACCTCAAATTAAATAGTGACAATTATCACTAGGTCAAATGCTTGATACTATTTTACGAGCATAACTTATATGAATTCAGTGTAAATTATCTTATTATTTATATATAAAAAAAAACCAAAAACAAATCTAAATAAATTATAATTATACAATCAATAATTGAGTTTTCTCTGCTGTGCCTGCATTATTTGGGCACATCTGTCGTCCCTTCTTCTTGTTTTTTGGCCGTAATTCAATCCATGCGGTTCTTACTCAATAATTGACCATTGGCAGTTGAAGGAATTCATAATTTTCTTTGCTGGGCCTCTTAATTTTCCGAAGTTTATACTTATTGGAGCGATAATTATTACAACATTTTTTAACAAATAGACTTAAATTTGAATATTGAGACATGGCACACTGTCTTAGCCCAACTTATCTACATCAGATCTTCACGTATCACAAGGTTAAGTTTCCGTCTTTCTTAATCATAGTTTTAAGAACCAAAATCACCCATAAATGATAAAACATTTCACATTGACGCAAAAACTTGCACCTTGGGTTTTTCCAGATGGGTGACATTTATGAGAAATTTTTCATTGTGATCGGAACACAGGAGGTATATCAGTGTGTTTTTATATAAGTCGTAAAAAAATTTATTTTTTAAGTTATTAACTTTTTAACACACATATCTCATCATTTGTATAATGACATGTGATGTACCAACTCATATACCGGTTAAAAAATATCTCCACATTTAGTGAACCTCATTGGCTGCACGACTTCAAAGCTCGACAGCTTTCTAGTGATCTGGCTTAAGCGTTATTTGGTGTTATTAATTCTAAAGCAATCATAATTTTACCTAAATTTATGTACCATGCATATGATTGTATCCGATTCGGCCACATTAATTATGAAAACTAATAGAAATTTTTACTGCGTTGAGAAACATTGTTTGGAATACCAAGCGATAATGTTACATCCCACATCGTTCATAGGAGTGAATAAGCTTATATGTATATTCACATCTCTACTTAGCACGATGCCTTTTGGGAGCTTACTGGCTTCAGAATTTATCGGAACACTGACTTTGAAGCTAGCGAGTTCGCGCGAGAGCACTCTTATGATGGGTGACCTACTGTGAAGTTCTCGTGTGAGTTCCTAGAAACAAAACCGTGAGGGCGTGGTCGGGATCCAAATCGGATAATATCGTGTTACGGTGGAGTCGAGTTCGGGATGTGGCGGGGCCCGAGCTGGGATGTGACAGATAATACAATTGGTTGGAATTTTTTTTCTCTCTAAGTTTTTAACCATTTGTATTATTACACCAAATATAATCGGATCGTATTTTTGACACTCTAAACAATATTTAGTCAATTAATAACAAACCACGACCAAATTAAGAGATGCATTAACTTTTCAACGCGGCAATCACTTATCTTAATCCGCGTAATCTCATCATGTCTACATCTTAATTCACTTAATTAAGTGCACATCAAGCCACCAAAACAATAATCAACAGCTTTAATAATATACTTAATGGACGTGTCCTTGTTAAATGAACAGTGCTCTCTTCCTTTGACCTTTAACTTAGTAAAAGTAAATCCCAGTAATTAACTAATCTTTTAACTCAAATGACATAACGTGCCTTTTCTTTTCGATGTGACAATTGCAAGTTGCAACTAGAGAGAATGTCCTAAGCAAAAGATAAACTATTAGGCGAGTTGGATTACACATCAGAATTTAATTGTTAAAATGGTAAAGTAATTTATCATTTTTCTACACAAAGTGATTAGAAAAGCCAAACCCTAATAGAATGCTCCATGCCTGCGTAAACAAAATGATCAAAATGATAATAATATCCTTAATTTAATAGTTTAAACATTCTTCACAATGTAATAGAAAAACCAAAATGATAAAAGTACTATAACTTTAATAAATAATGGATCAAAATACTTTTGACAACAGTTGCAAGTATTTTTGTCGTTTTATCCTTATATAATGAAAATCTTTTACAAGAAGACCAAAATAATTGATGATAGATAAACTCAGAGATTACTTTTATTAATTTCAAATCTCATGAAACTAAAGTGACGAGTTATATATATATATATTGCTTTCATGTTTTCTATCAGTTTGATTTTCTTTTGACTTGTGTTGAAACGTGAAAGTAGTAAAAAGTAAACCCAAAAATTACTATCTTAATAATAAATCATATCTAGATGGGAGGATCCTTGAACCAAGAAAAATTTGAAACTGCCCCCAACTTACAACCAAATCACGTGCCTGTAGAAGTAAAAAAGAATCAAAGGCAGCAGGGGATCACTAGAATAATAAGAGGCTGCAGAGCCTGCGATCATTTTTTTATTTTTCCCAATAAATAAATAAAAAGAAAAATTAATGAAAAATGTTTGAAAATTTTGAGATTTAACGATAAAAATAAAATGAAAGATAAAGTAAATAGTACCGTAATTGATTTTTTTAGTGTAAAAATATGATTTTTCGTTAAAATTCTCTAAATAAAAAGAGGTAAAAAATGTAAAATAATTTTGTTCAAGTTTACCTGTTTGTGTTTGAGGTGTAGTACTGATGGTTGTTGTTGGATTTGGATTGTCTGCCCTCCTCATCCCATACTTTTCTCATCTTCTCTTATGTATGTGATTATGGTTAAACCACGTCAATATTTTATATTCATATTGATTTTTGCCTTATTATTTCTATAAAAAAATCAATATAAAATGTTAACGTGGTTTAACCGTGACCATAAAATATGGAAGGGATGAGAAGGGTATGGGATAGGGATGGAAGACAATCCAGGTCTGGTTGCGAGACCTGGATTGTTTTCCCTCCCTATCCCATACCCTTTATGTCCCTTATTTCTGTGGTCACGGTTTGACACATTAACATTTTATATTTTCATTGTTTTATGTTTTATTATTTCTATAAAAAAATCAATATAAAATATTAACGTAGCTTAATCGTGATCAAAGAAAATAAGAAAGGATGGAAAGGGTAAGAGATAGGATGCCAGACAATCCAGGTCCAGGTCCGGTTGTTGTTTGCCCGCGTACTTCATTGGAGGTCGCGCCCCCATCACGGAGCACCTTTTTTAATATTTATTTTTCTAATTTTATATTTATTTCAACATTCAAAAAATAAAGAAAAATTAGAAAATAAAAATATTATAACTGGCGAAGAGGGCTAGCTGGTAGTGGTGGTAGTGAAAAACCAAGCAAACGCCCCTCCTTCTTCCCCAATCCTCAATGCTCAGATTCCTCGCCCATTCCTAGCGCTCTTTCATTTCCGAGCCCTACCCATTCCTCGACTCGGAATTTGTTGCAAACCCAATTCAACAAAATTGGAAATTGATTCAGAAAAATGAAAGGGGAGCATCAGATTCATCAGCTGAATCAGTATCCGCTGCCGCAGCAGCATCCAGACCCGTCCATGGCTTCCGCCTCTGCCGGGGTCGACTTCGGCAAGGCCAAGATGTGGCCGGACGAATCCCAGAGAATGGACGGTGGGATGGACGAGCTTCTGGCGGTGTTGGGGTACAAGGTTCGGTCTTCGGACATGGCGGATGTTGCTCAGAAGCTTGAGCAGCTTGAAGAATTTATGGGTTGTGCTCAGGAAGATGGACTCTCTCAGCTCGCTTCTGACACCGTTCACTATAACCCGTCGGATCTGTCGACGTGGCTCGAGACCATGATCTCCGAGATTAACGTCCCGCCGCCTAATTTCGAACCTTTAATGGGCGGCGCCGTCGCTGGGATACAGCCTAGTCAGCAGCAAGTCCAGCTAGTTGACGACCCGTTTTTAGCTCCGGCAGAGTCGTCCATCACCACTGTCGATTTCCCAGATCATCGGAAGAGCAAATCCGTTAGCACATCACCCACCCAAAATGTATTCGAAGACTGCAACTCTTCTTCCAGCTACTACGACTTCAAATCCATCCCCGGAAACGCGGTGTTCACCAAAACCCGCCTCGATTCTTCCTCGCGGGAGCCCAAGCGTCTCAAATCCTCATCCGGGTCTTCTCCCTCCGACCTCCTCTTTAACCGCCCCGCCGCCTCCTCCCTTCCACAACCACAACAACCCATCTCCCTCCCCGCCCCCGCCGAGTCATCATCAACCCGCCCAGCCCTCCTGGTTGACTCCCAGGAAAACGGAGTCCGACTCGTCCACGGCCTCATGGCCTGCGCGGAAGCCGTCCAGCAGAACAACTTCAACCTCGCCAAAGCCCTGGTGACCCAGATCGGCTACCTGGCAGGTTCACAAGCAGGTGCCATGCGTAAAGTCGCCACCTTCTTCGCCGAAGCCCTGGCCCATCGAATCTTCAGAGTCTACCCTCAGCCGCCGATCGACCACTCCTTCTCCGACATGCTGCAGATGCACTTCTACGAGACCTGCCCCTACCTGAAATTCGCCCACTTCACCGCCAATCAAGCCATCCTCGAATCCCTACAAGGCAAAACCAGAGTCCACGTCATCGATTTCTCCATGAACCAGGGGATGCAGTGGCCCGCTCTGATGCAGGCGTTGGCGCTTCGACCCGGCGGCCCGCCCGCTTTTCGGCTCACGGGTATAGGGCCGCCGTCTTCGGATAACTCCGACCACCTTCAGGAAGTGGGATGGAAACTCGCCCAGTTGGCTGAAACCATCCACGTTGAGTTTGAATACAGAGGATTTGTGGCAAACAGCTTGGCCGATCTCGACGCGTCGATGCTCGAACTCAGACCGAGTGAGGTTGAATCTGTGGCGGTCAACTCGGTCTTCGAGTTGCACAAGCTGCTAGCCCGACCCGGCGCGATTGAGAAGGTGCTATCAGTGGTGAAGCAAATGAAGCCGGAGATCCTGACCGTGGTGGAGCAGGAGGCGAACCACAACGGTCCTGTTTTTATGGACCGGTTCAACGAGTCGCTCCACTACTACTCGACCCTGTTTGACTCGCTGGAGGGGTCGGCGAACAGCCAGGATAAGGTGATGTCGGAGGTTTATTTGGGGAAGCAAATCTGCAACGTAGTGGCGTGCGAAGGGTTGGACCGGGTGGAGAGGCACGAGACGTTGACCCAGTGGAGAGCCCGGTTCGACTCGGCAGATTTCGTCCCCGTTCATCTCGGGTCGAACGCGTTCAAGCAAGCGAGTATGCTGCTGGCGTTGTTCGCCGGCGGAGATGGATATCGGGTGGAGGAGAACGACGGGTGTCTGATGTTGGGCTGGCACACTCGCCCGCTCATTGCCACCTCGGCGTGGAAAGCCATCTTCCAACTCGGTCATGGCTCACTGAGTCGAGTAGCGAGCTGGGTCAACTTTTCAAAAACTTAGATCCTTTTTTTGGGTGCCAACCAAACAAACCCTAGTGATGGTGGTGGGGTTACCAAATGTGACATATGTCTGTGGTACTGAGCTGGATGCGATCAGGAGATTGAGATTGGGACACCCAAAGAGGACCACCATTTAGGCCCATTAGCAAAATGTTCGGCTGAGAACACCATCAGCCTCTTTCTTTTTACCTTTTTTTTTTTTTTTTACTTCAATTTGTTAGGGGTTATTTCTGTGTAGCAAGAGGTGGATGTGTACGAATGTTTATATTTCATACATAGGTTGGTGGTAAAAATAAATTCAATTACTCTTTTTGACAATTATTGCCTCACATGGGCACGTCAAAGTGGTTAAGAGTATTTAGCTTGTATTTGAAGTCACTGTGTTTGAAACATGCTTCGTTGACATTGTATGTGTTGATTTGGCGAGGCTAAGAGACTTATAATTGAAGTAGTGAAGCGTGTTTAGTTTGAATCTCTCCAAAGTCCTATGTTTGAATCAAGCTCGACGAAGTGACGGAAAATGACTTATAACTCAAGCGATTAAGAGTCCTTAGGGTTAAGTTGCTTGTGGCATGGTGATGGAACTAAAATGGAAAAAGGTAGAAGAGCAAAACACTATTCGAACCCTGAGATTGTGATCTATCTAGGCTGGATTCCACCACCCACTGCCTATTATTGTAGGGTGGGGTACGGTTGTACCAACTGTCAAATGTGCTTTGATTTCGTACTAGGCTACTGTCGCACTTCTATGTTATATGTTAGGTGCTTCAGTAGTTTTGACAAATTTTGAATTTGTATTTTACACAATTCATTTTGAATTAGACTCTTGATATTGATGAATCACATTATAATTATTAAAAAAATGTAGAAATATCTCTTTAAGTTTTTTCAACTTCAAAAAAAATAAACTGACCTAGCCTTGCCGCCTGTTGATCTTAGAAAAGAAAGTTGATAAATATATGTGTGAATTTAACTAAAGTGTCGCAGTAACTTTTTACATTTGTGGAAAATCAGTGTTGAAGAATCCTGTTTTATTAGGTCCTGCAGGGAACGGGAAAGAAAGCACAATCATCATGAGAAAGTGAAAAGGCAGGCCAACTTCAATGTCAAACTTTTCTTCTTTTTTGTGACCACTTTTCTCGAAAAAAAAGTTGCCTTTTATTATGTTCTTTGCCGCGATCCATCTCACTTTTTCTCCAACTTTACCTGAATTAATATTCCCTTTCTCTTCGGTTTTCCTCAAATAACAGGTGCAATAATTCCATCTCCCCTTTTGTTAGATTACTTCCATTAGGGGAATACGTATATATACACATATATATATATATATGTAATGTTGACATGAGAATTGACGTTCGATTGTAAGATAACAGATAGTTCATAAATAATTTTATTTTGAAGAAACTCCCTTAGCATTTTTTTTTTAAGGAAAAGGGAACTTTATTAAATAGAGAAACTGAACACCTAAGATCTCTGACATCATACAAGTTACAACAGAGCATTTCTAGCTTGATAAGGAATACAACCATCTCAAATATACAAATTGTTGCATCTGTGACCTAAATATGTATTGTTCACTTTAACGAAAAATCACATTTTTACACTAAAAAGTCAAACATGGTACTATTCACTTTACCTTTTATTTTGTCCTTATCATTAAAACTCAAAGTTTTCAAACCATTTTCATTAGTTTTTTTTTTTAAAGTTAGCTTACCAATAGACATAGTTCCACTCTACCGAATCAAAAGAGGAAGCAAGCCATTTAATGTGCTCCGCACAATAGTTCTAATTCTCCAAGAGATCACACGTCTTCCAGTGATAACATATAACAACCTTTGAGTCCCCTTCCACCATGGTTCTCCGGAGTTTGCGTTGTTTTGCTAGATTTAAGGCATTTCGAAGACCCATAGCTTCGGCCAACGTGATAATATAAACTATAGTACACGGGATGAATCGTGATGTTATAGAACTCAAACTTTTTGATTCCCAAACTCTTACTTCCATGGGGTGAAAACAATACCATGTGCATGTGCATGTGCTCACTCCAATGTATATCAAAGAGATCATAGATAAATTTATTTTTATTTTATATTAAAAAAAAAAAAAAAAGAACGAGTTAGGCTCTAAAGTGCAGAGAATATCTTCGGTAAGGGGGGGACCGTGTGAGTTTGGGTGAAATTAATATTTAAAGATGTCATATATTTTTGTAAAAAATGTCGTATAAAATTACGAATGATATGATTTAGGAATTCTTACACAAATTTCTCTCGTGTATTACTCCTACCGTGAAGGTAGAGGGCGTTCCAACCAATGGATGAAGTTTGGGGAGTGCTTTAACTTCATTATCTCCTTCTCTTTCAAATGATTAATACTACTTAGCAAAAGTTACCATGAGTTAGTAAACGCTAAAGCAAATGTAACAAATCTATATCTTTTTTTACTTGCATACTTTAATAATTAGTTACTAGCTACAAAACATATGGACTGCACAATAGTTTACTATTTAATTAAGAGAATTGTTATTAGCACTTCAAAAATCTCATTCTACACTCCAAACTTTCTATACTAGGAAAGAAAAATATACTTGTAAGGAGTGTAGAATGAGATTTTTGGAGTGCCAATAACACTTCCCTTAATTAATTTGCTTTAATTATTCACACTCTAATGAGTTGAAGACATGAAGTTAGAGAGATTTTCAGTGTGCTGAAAACACAGTTCAATATATCATATGGACTGCACAATAATTTACCATTTAATTAATTTGTTTTAATTATTCACACTCTAATGAGTTGAAGACATGAAGTTAGAGAGATTTTTCAGTGTGCTAAAAATACAGTTCAATATATTAAGTGTCATGATACAATTGGTAGAATTTTTTCTTTTTCAAGTTTTTAGCCAATTTTTATGACATTTAGTATACCAGATTATATGCCTAGCACACTAAAAAATCTCTCATGAAGTTGAAGGAGTTTACTACTACCTTTTCAACTTGAGATTCTAAATTTTGTAAAGGTACAGTTAAAATAATATTTTCTGTAGTCTAATTGTTGTCTGTAATGGCCGGGCCAGCTAATAGTATATGAGTCATTGAGTAAGACTAAGCTCGATTGCATGGGAATATCAGATGAGGTATGACATAATTCAAATTTAATTTGCATCTCTTTCTCAAATGGTATGCTATACAGAATACATACAAGATTTCATGTAGTATATTACTAATATTTTGTGTCCCAAAAGGAACCCACCAATAATTACATAGAATACAACTTTTGTTTAAAAAAAGCTATGATAAATTGGTGACTTCGTCATGGTAGTCGATCATTTTGGAGGTTGGAAAGACTCAAAGAGGTATTTCAGCTTCTTCCTGCCACCTCGTGCGATTTACCGACGCCAAAAATCGAACTCAATACGTGTAGTATAGGATACGTGCCTGAAATTCTACCCTAACCACTGAGTCATCCCTTAGTGATTTCATAGAATACAACTTTAGGGCTCTCTTTAATTTGAAAAACTTCAATAGCGTCACATGTACGATACCGCTTATATAAGTACAATACTATTTGCGTTTTGGTCACTTCATACTGATCATATACAATGTGAAAGTTGCTCTAATCATGTTATATGCCAAAATTTCTCTTTAAAATGTTAGTTGGATTAAGCTTGCACACGTTGAAATTTAAAAAGAAACATATCATAAATTATGACTGGGGAATTCGTATAGCACCTAAATTTCCTTTCATTTTGTGCATTATATCGTATTATATTTTAGCCACCTAGATTGGACTTAAAAAGTTTTGTAATTATATGCATGTCACTAATGCTGCATGATAAATAAACAAATAAAACAAAATATCCCCTGCCCTATCAATACCATGTAAGATACAATCAGAACATAAAAAAAATCCAGATTCCCGTGTGGTCCTGCCCCATCTCTTAGTAAAATATAATTTTAAAATGAGCAGATCCGTGATATTATTTTTTTTCATAATTTTTCCATAAGTTTGGTAGGGTTCACTCTGTAATGTATTTTCACGATCTAAACCACGTACCTTTTAAAACACCATTCATAGATCATCCTAGTAAAAAATTAGACAAATCTAAAATCGTTAAGACATTCATTTATAGTGAAGAAAATAGACGAATATGGTTTTATAAAGAAACCCTAGACTCTTAATCCAAATATCATAGGGTTTCAAATTTGGGTGATTTTTTATAAACATGATTTTAAAAGGAAGACTTAAAAGATAGAATACTCAAATCATTAAAATACATTATGAAAAAAATGTCCACAAAACAATATGTCAAGGGTTGTGGAAACAAAAAATAATGACATGGATCCGCGTATTTGTTATTTGTTAATTAACATTTAAATCATAATTTGATTAAAGGAAATGGTCAAAAGCTTTTGGTTTTTGGGTGTAAAAAGGAGGAGATTAGTGAGAGAATGAGAGGGAAGCACTGATGGCCGCCCGAGCCATCTTAGTCGTAGGGCATTGGACCAGATAATTACGTACATTATGTGACAAACCCACGTACATTTTAAATAATCTTTGATGTTTAAATTACATGCAATAATATATAATGGTGCGCTTATAATTTTTTTTTTAATATCAACTTGTTCGAATTTAACTAAGGACTTTTTTTTTTTTAATTACAATTTTATTTTTAATTTTTTTTGGAAAACTTAAATTATAATTTATTGACCCCTTGTACTAGAGATTTACTTTTATTCGAAACCCTTCATCATGCTCTTTTCTCCATCCCATACTCCAATTACTTTGTCCCCATTCCGCAAAGAATCACTAATATCAGTTTTTTTAGTTAAATTAGCTGTCTGAGATTGACATAACTCTTCATATTACTCTCTGATAATGAAAATCGATAGAAATGATACATGAGTTTATCCATCGTAAATTGTTTTGGTCATTCCGTCCGTCATTCTGTGAAAAATTTGTCAATATCCTTGTAAAGTGAAGGAGTTGGTTTGACGAAAATACTTTTAAAAAGATGGTCACATGGCCGCTCAATTACAATTTAATAAGGATATTGACAGATTATTTACGGAAAGACCAAATGATTTACTGTGGATAAACTCTGAGACCATTTCTATCAATTTTATTGTTAAGGACCACTCTAAGGAGTAATGTTAATCTCAAAGACTATTTTAATTAAAAAGTCTCAATACTATGGGGGCCGAAAATATTAATCTAGCAAAATGCAGACGTGAGACTTTAGCTTCTTCTTCTTCTTCCTTTTTCCTTAAAACAAAAGTATTTGTGCAGGAAGTTGGTATTGCCGATCATTTTAAATTCTCATATTGGAAAGTTTTATAAAATAGAATGCAATATATAATAAATTGTTCGTCCTACCATACATTGCAGCGAGATATTTTGTTAAGAGAAAAATTACTTATAAATATTGATTGATCTCCTGCACATTCCTTACCTTTATTTTTTTTTCTTAATCAATCAA